TATAATACGGCACATAAACACATTAACATAGACAGGCATCACTAACTGCAATGATAACCAAAGCTACGTAACAAGATTACCACATATGACCGCCGACAAAAACACTAGCACACCCTAGTACTATAGCACTATGCAGCTTTGTCTGGTATTTGCGTATAACTTGTTGAGTGTTAGATGTAAAGAACCAAAACTCCTTTGTAAAAGAAGTATATATTTGTGGGGCTGTGAAAAACTCCAGATGTAAATGGATATTGTATATTCCTTCCGAAACATTTGGTTTATACTAAAATATTTTATTTTGTAGACACAGTGTGTCTACGTGTAAATGAAATAATATTCCAAATAAGCAATATTCAAAAAGCCCCTGTCACACACATAGCCAAATCTGGCCTCCCGACTACTAGCCGAACGCCCGCCAACCATGGTTGGGAGTAGGTCGGGAGCAAGGTCGGCTGTGGTCGGCTGGTGTTCGGCGGCCAGGTCGGCTACAGCTGCGCCAGCCGACTGTTTCAAAATGTTGAAATCATTCGGGAGGTTTCGCCAAGGTTGGCTGGTGTTCGGGGGTAGGTCGGGGCATAGTTGGCAGTCAAATTAATTGATTGTATTCCTATAGAAAAGTAGGCGTGGTCTATAGATCACTGGTTCAGCTGCTCCCAAACTTCAGCCAACCTTGGTCGGCTGTCGTTCGCGGGAAGGTTCTGAATGTGTGCATGTCTTGTTTTCTTTTCGAGAACGATTTGCGCTCTTGTCGTTTTTATGCCAACCAACTCGACCACAACATACCCGACAGTTCGTATCCTATCTACCCGCATAAATTATCACCTCATAAACACTTCACGACTGCTATAATTACACTGAACACACAGCCGAATCCCTGCAGTAGTTGTAGTAGTACTTGACACAAACAAAACTCGGCAAGGGGTTCGCAAATCCGCGCTACAGGTAAGGACTTGGGTAAATCTTTGTCCGGAAATCGCCAACACACACTCTACTTGTACCCTTGTTTACACAGACTAGCATTCAAAATATAGCTCAAACTTACTTAAAAAGACAAAACTCTCTAGGCCATTGGTTGCCCTACATAAAATGGTTTACTTGTACATTTTATGATTAAATTCTTAATGTGTAAAATTTTGCCCGAGCTTAATTGCATGTACAGGTTTAAAAGAAGAAAATAAGGCAATAGAGAATTTGGACATACAAGTACTGTCTGATCAACTTGTATACTACTACTACATTTGTTTTTGTGGGTTTGACTTCTTCTTTGAAGGCAGTGGATAATGAATAGTCCCACGTTCTGCATAATTAGTGGGTTTTGTGATCTTAGTAGAAACGTAGTTTCTTAGTCATCTTATAGATCGTAAAATGATGAGGAAATTGATGAATAACGTACTAATACATGCATCATCTATCTATGATCAAAAAATGTACCATGATGGGTTAAAAGAAACGTGTCTGAAGAGGTGTTATGTTTGTGGATGTTTCTTGGTTTAATCTTATAGATCGTAAAAGAGTGGGGAAATTATGGCAACCGTTTGAAATAACCTAATATTATCTATTTACGATCTACAAAATGTATCATGATGTTAACAAGAAACGTGTCTGTAGAGTTTTGTGAATATAATGATTTTATCAAGTGTCTAATCTCACAGATAGACAGTGGGTGTCACTGGAAGACGGACGAAAAATGCCCAGACTATGCATGATGTACAAAATGACTAATAAACTGGTGGACGTCCCATCTACTAAGTACCTAATACCAGCCCAGAAGAGAACAAGAAATAGCCATGCCTTCAAGTACCAGAGTTATCAACCAAGGATTGAGGTGTTAAAGAATTCATTATTTCCTAGAACTATTGCAGAGTAAAACTCGCTGTCACCAAGTACAGTAGGGGCATTGTCATTAGATAGCTTTAAACAATGTCTAGAGTTAGATGTTCAAGGGTTAGGTGTAACAAGTCGATCGGTGTAATGTAGCCAGCTGCCGCCGCGCCGCGTGCCTGCGAAGCTGGTGTGTTACGCCGAAAGGCGGTTATACCGGCTATACAGATACAGATACAGATACAGATGTACAAAATGACTAATAAACTGGTGGACGTCCCAACTATTAAGTACCTAATACCAGCCCAGAAGAGAACAAGAAATAGCCATGCCTTCAAGTACCAGAGTTATCAACCAAGGATTGAAATTCTCAAGAATTCATTCTTTCCTAGAACTATCGCAGGGTGGAACTCACTGTCACCAAGTACAGTAGGGGCATGGTCATTAGATAGCTTTAAACATTGTTTAGAGTTAGATATTCAAGGGTTAGGTGTAACAAGTCGATCGGTGTAATGTAGCCAGTTGCCGCCGCGCCGAGTGCCTGCGAAGCTGGTGTGTTACGCCGAAGGGCGGTTATACCGGCTATACAGGTACAGATACAGATACATTTTTGTAGGGCAGACTGACGGGGGCCTACGTGCCGGTGAAGTTGCGGGGAAAAAGCACAGGCAGCCCGAGGCACATCTAGCCGGGCCTACGCTGATTAAGTCTGGCACGAGACGCGCCAGAAATGTAGACAACCTTCCACAACACAGCGTCGGGCTTAAAGTGGCAGTGATTTTCCGGTAAGACACGACAAGGCTGAACGTGAACTCGCCCAGGGACGTGCAGGGATGTCAGATCTACGGGATATCATAACACAAACACCGGGCGAGATGACATACATGAGAAATTACATCAGACAGAATAACATACTAGTATTTTCTAAGTAGAGGTTTTGGCTTTGGCGTGGTTTAGGCCTTTTTATCGGCCTTTCTATTTTGTACCGATGACAGTCATACCTTCAAATATCAGAGTTATCCCTACTCTCCTACTTATTTTTGGCGTGTTTTTAAAGGCTTTTTTTATCAGGTATTTTTTGTACTGGTTTTTTTTGTGGCAGCCCAACACATCAAAGATACCAGTACCTGTATCTGTATCTGTATCAGTATAGTCAGTATAACCGTCCTTCGGCGTAACACACTAGCTTCGTATGCACGCGGCGCGGCGGCAGCTTGCTATATCACACCGAACGACTTGTTACACTCAATCTTAGCACATTTGATTGCAGGAGTTGTTCAAAGCTTTCTAGTGATGACGCTCTAACTGTGCTTGGTGGCAACGAGTTCCAGTCTACGATAGTTCTTGGGAAATACAAGTTTTTCAATACAATTCTTGGTTGATAACACACAAGGTATGAACACAACACTCACGCCGTGCTCTGAAAAAGGAAACAAATGTAAAACTGTTTTTTAAGAGTATCGCGATGAAAGGGCAAGAAAATGAACAAGAGTAAACACTCAACGAAAGACTTCTTTGACCACGGGGTCAAACAGGCACTAGAATGTTTCTCTTGTTTGCATCTTGTCGTGGTATAAAATCTAGGTGTCTTTCTTCTAAATTCCATTTATCATTTATTATTTCTTGTAGGCTTGATACGCGCCCATGTACAATGCCAAACGTTAGGACATGTTCCATGTAAAAATTATTTCCGTCGTGTCAGGATCGTGATGTAAGTTTACCGGTTGTTGTGGGAGTGTTTTATGTCGTGTCAATGTCGCACGGGAGTCGCGCGACGCGCTAAGCACGTGTGAAGTGCGCGACAAACCGACAGTACATCAATTTCCCAAACAAACACTGGTAAGTACCCGATAATTACCGACAATAGCACAACCGTAACACCTCCAAGTGCCCATCACAACAACGACTTGTTGACAAACCATCGCGGTCCACTGCCAAATATAAACTCTCTCGGTTAGCTCATCGAACGCTTTCTTTCCTAGACAATGCGTTCTTTTGCTATTTTTCCATCAAAGAAAAAATACAGTCACGCATAGAATGACAAGTAAGTGTTTCCATAAGGGGGTAGACTTTCTCTACCCTTATCTTTCGAACGACGTGTAACTGAAAACTTCCTGGTGAGTTTGTCAACACCAGATGACGAGTGGGGAGGGACTGAGAGGACACACAGCTCTGGGAATCGAACCCTGGACGTCACATGTCTAACCCCAGCTTTGATATCATACAAACTGCTTCGCCCATAACTGTCTATAGATAGTATGTCCTCTCTCATCCTTGCATACATAGAAACTGAGTGAAAAGTCTCAGTTTCTTTTTTTTTTTTTTGATAATTTTTTCTCAGCGGGGACAGCTTGTCGCGTTTTTTTATATTTCCACCTGGTGACAAACATTCTTTAGTGTCGTCTCCTTATCTCATAATAGCTCTAAACAGTGATTACAGGTAGGGGGGCTTCCAGGGCCGACACAGACAGACTACGTATTGTAGTAAGATCCACAGGCTTGGAAAACCTAGGACAAAACGCGTCCTCTTTAAAAACATAACGTTTTGTAAAGAGAGATTTTGAAGAGGGGCAGGGTCACGTAAATAGGTTAATGTTGTGAGAAAACCAGGACAGCTTTCTTTGACAGGTTTTGACAATAAAATTGATCATACATACGTTATACATAATGTCTAGGTGGGCACGACAATTTGAGTAACGTTTTGGAAATAGGATAAAAGATAAAAGAACCCAGAGTGCAAAATTTACCTGGCCACTGGCTTAAACTATAAGAAAGTAGCCGAGGAGTTATGAATACATTCAGCTGGTAAACCGTAATTTAGACTGTATTGTGTATGGTAAGTACTTATTTTCTAACGACCTACCATCCTATAAAAAAAAAGGTCGGAACTGAACAACTCCTGTTTCTAGTTTTTGTGGGTTTTGTCTTCTCTGAGAAGAAATCAGTAATTCAAACCACATTCGAACGTTCCCACCGACCAGAGAAGACAGGTCCGCGATAAGAAAGTTTACCCAGATCAGCGCACCATGCTCTAAACTGTTCTGCTCCAATGCCCGACTTGACACGACAAGAGCGACAACAAAAGATCCATATGTGGCTAATCGGCTCCAAACGTTTTCTTTCCCCAGAGTTACTGTGATGATAAGTGTTAGGGAGGAGAGAGTAGGAGAGGTTCTCACCTTGGATGTAGCCGTTGGGCTCCGGACTTTTACGTTTTCTCGGCCTGCCTTTATGTATGGCGCCGACGCCGTTGTAAAACTGCGCCCCGGTAGGAGACGTGGGGGTCTGCGGCGGGCTGCAAGCGGCTCCCAGGGGCAGGTGCGAGGCTTCCCCGTGAACCAGCGTCTCGTAGTCGTAGCGACAGTACACGGTGTCCCCGCGCATCCCGAACTGGTCGCCGGTGGTGAGGGGACGGTTACACGTCTCGCACATGAAACAGTTCAGATGGAACACCAAGTCCCGGGCACGCATCACCATCTCACTGGCAGAGATTCCCAAGTGACACCGTGCGCATCGCTTCACAGAAAACCGTCTGGCAGAAAAATTAAAAAAAGAAAAAAACAAAACAAACACGTCAACATTTTAACAAACTTTCACACATACATGATATATCAGGTCGACTTCAGTGGGCGTACGTACGTACAGTACGGAAAAATAGTTAATTTTTCCTACACAACACTTGAGAAGTAAATCATGTACATTTGTACTTTGCCGCCGACACTCCACACAATACGGCAGTATACAACATTGCTATTGAAATGTAGAACACTGTAATTTACTGATAATTCACTTCAGGCTAGTAGGTAGTTGTGTGAAGGACTTTATGAGTCGTTTTAGCCTCACTTCGCTTGGCATTTTGTTACAGGGGAAATTCCCCTTGGGGGAACAGAACACATTTGTCGTCGGTCGTCTGAGAAGGAAACTCGAAGATCCGTTTTTTATCGCTGAAAATCAGACACGGCTTAGCTTACTAAAAGTTACTTCGTTCCTTTTTTACTGTAAGATTTAGTCAGATGAACAGTGCTACTTTGTTGGATCAAGGTCTCTGTATAATGTCCTTGGTTGTATGTAAAGCTTTTAAAAACACCGAACACTTCCATAATTCTAGAGCCACAACAAAAATAGCGAGACACAAAAATTGTGTGTTCGCTGTTGTTTGAAAGGCTACAGTTTTGTTTCGGATATTCTACAAAAAAACTTGTAGCACTTTTTTGGCGTAGTTTGATCTGAAATTGGCGAGAAAAACATCTGACGAGGTTTCCTTCGAGTTTGTGATGTTTATAATTTGGTGGTTTGAACCGGACATTAGTCAGAACTACTACATGTGACTGTAGGTTGTCTAGTCAATAGAAATACGGTTCCTTGAATGTTACTTGTTTATGAGAAGATGTAGCTACATTTACATTTCTGAATTATCGATATTGGATCTAGGAATACGAGTAGATTTCTGATTGTTAAGTGTACTACGTCAACACGAACCTGTAGTAGTCTTGTTTGCAGTATATCGACCCGTCCTTGGCGAAACATGTCAGTTCCGACTCCAACCTCAGTTTGCATTCACAGCATTTCAGACAGTGGAGGTGCCACTGCTTGTCCACGGCCAGTAGGTAGTAGCGGTCGACGATCCTGCCGCCGCAGCCCGCGCACACACCAGGCTTGTCCTCGGGGTGGACGACCGGCATGGCCCGCCCGTGCTCCGCGCTCGCCCCGCTACTGCACCCCGTCGGCAGCGTGGTGATATCCTGCAGGAGGAAGTCGTCAAGGGCAGTTGAGGAGACCTGAACCTCACAAGGTTCCCCCGCGCAGTTACACCCTAGCATGTAAAAGCAGTGACGGTGTCGTTATACAAGAAAAGAAGAGAATATCTCTGTACGATCAGACTATAGAGTGTACGGACGGTCTGGTCACACACACGCACTAAAGACTGTCATACAGACCCGCACACTACTATCGTGGCTCCCCTCGGAGTGCGCAGGTCACAACAGCTGGTTCTCGTAACACAACACTCCGTCAGCCCGGGCCAGCCCTACAACTCCCCGCCTCTGACAGCCCACTTAGCGCGAGACTTGGCCGCAAACTAACGCGAGACTTCTTTTCACGAGCATCTACCGTTTCCCTAGCCTCTACCAGGCTTCGTGAAGCGGCTGGAAAAAGTAAAAATTGGCCAAATAGACAGATAACATACAAAAGTAAAGAGTACAGTTTGTCGCTCCAGTTTTAGCCGACTATCTCCCCTGGCATGTTATCTGTCTATGTGGCCAATTTCTACTCTTTCCAGCCGCTTCCCGAAGCCTGGTAGAGGCTACCGTTTCCTAATGTTTCCTAAGGTCTTTGATAGATACACTAGTTTTAATTCCTAGCCTTCAAAAATAACAATTCTGCACGCTTCTGTAAACATACACCGCCAGGACTTGACCGTTCTTTGGTACCTCACAGTTGACCGTGAACACAATCGTTTAAAATATGACGGCTGCAGAAAAACCCGCGGGCGAGAATGTTGCTTACTCACCCCAAACAGCCCTGCCAGCAAAAAAGGAAGTACTCCTATCTCGATAACGATCTAATCTTTACCGCAAAGAGTAGAAAAAGAAGGCGGCCATGTTATGTTGCGTCCTCCGGTCTAGTATACAAAAACACGCTACCAGACACACGCTTTGGTTACGACTTTGTACAAGTTTCTCGTTAAACAGTAACTGTTTTTAGGGGCGATAGTTTGCGTGCAGGAGTTTTTAAGAGGAAAGGAAAACTGTCTGTTGGGGGAAGGAAGCAGCCCGCTGTGGGTTGAGCCCCACACACGCGAAACCGTCACGGGAAGCCGGAGGTACAACACATACCCGTAGCCAGGATTTTGAATGGGGGGGTTCTTCCCACTGCTTGAGGGGACCTCGAGCGCCGTAGGCGCGAGGCGAGCGCCGAAGGCGGTTCCTAGGGGGGTCCGGGGGCATGCTCCCCCGAAAATTTTGAAAAATGAACCTTCTAAAATGGCATTTCGTGCATTTTTGAGAGGTTTTGCAAGAAAAAATTAGAGATGAATTTTTATTCAATGACAAAGGCAGCAGTTTTCTACGATTCCAGTCCATCTTTTCAAGAAAAATCTTGGACCTTTACATAAAAGGTGGACCAAAAGTGGACCTTTGAGCCTTGTGGGGGGGGGGGG